TTTAAACCTCCAATAATACTATTAGAGGTTTAAAGGGAATCATAATATAATTAACTATAAACTGAATATGGCATGAAAAAGGAACAAGCTCATATAAATTTTTAAATACATTTAGAAAAATAAAGTATTAGACTAAAAGAATAAAATAGTTCTCATTATCAAAATTGAAAAAAGGTTAACTCATCTATAGGAGTGAAGAAGATAAATTATTCTAAGTTTTTAATCTATATTAAATTCTCAATCAATATAAATTGAAGTTATGAATATTGTGGTAATAAAATCAACTTCAAAAAGTTAAAGACTGATAGTTATATTTTGAAATTTAATAGGCATAATTAATGATAATATATCAAAAATGGAATATTTAATGATGTTCTATAATTATGTGAGACCAATAGAAGAAATTAAGGAGATATATTATCATAAAACTCATGAAATTTATAGATATTCTTTTGTTTATAATTAATATTTATTGTAATTTTTATATTCACTATTTTTTTATTTTAATTCATGTTTACAATTAAAATAATGATAAAAAGTTCTGTAAGACGGTCTGATTGGGAGCAATAAGCAGTATATCATCCTAGATTTGAAGCCTATGAGAGAATCCAAAATTTTAGTTGAACATATGATAAGGGTGGTTTTTCAAAAAGGTACAAAGGATGATCTGATTTAAAAGTATTATAGTTAAGAAAGAAAATTGAAGGAATATCAGAAGTCGATAAGAAGAAGAAATTATAGAGAAAAGAATGCTAGATCTTATATCGAATATATTTTTGACTGTTTCTAAATTAAGTTCCATACGGATGAAACTTAAGCAAAATATTATATTTTAGAAGCCAACTTTGTAGTAAATCTAAAAATTTGAATATAGGAAGAGATTTTTGAAAGAGACAGAATTTAACATAAAGCAAAATGATGAATTAAATTCTAATTCTATCAGAAGTTAAAATATTTAAGAAATAAAGTAAACCTTTTGTTCATAAATGAGAATGCAATTCCAGGTAAGGAACTTATTATTAGCTATATGAAAGGGATATTAACATATCAATTGTTATTAGATGAAGATAAATATCTACCTAATATACTATTTATTAGTTCATGAGAATGATGAAGAATAAACTTTATAAATTTGGAGAAATAAGAGAATAAATGGTAAGGAACTATTGGATAAAGCAAATTAAGAATGTAAAAGCAGATCCTTGGGGAAGAGGGGAAATAATTTATAGAATAAGAGAAACAAAGAAAGGAAGATAATCAAACATCGTAAAGAAGATAATAATGTTGATTTAGGTAACTTAGAATTAGAAGATGCATATTTGACCCTATAAGATATTCAAATTTGAAGGTGCTTTCATAATCAGATGTAGAATGACGATACATTTACTACTAGGTAAGAATATAAGAGAATGAAATATGAAAGAATCATCTATGATAATTTAACTTTAAGGAAAGTAATCTAAATAATTTAGATCATTTGTGATCAAGAGAGAATAAATAATTAATTAAATATATATATATAATTAATTTAAGGAGTGTGGCTGATTTTATTATTCCAAATCAAAATGAATGATTATCATTGTGCCAAACCTTGCTTTCTAATTTAAAATTAAATTTAGTCATTCCTATAATAAATCATATGACCTAAACTTTTGAAAATAAATCTGGAAAAATTGAAAATTGTGTATCTAAAAATACTAATAATCATTTTGATATTATCTGTTGAAATAAAAATGGTATATCGCTTCATGATTTGAAAAAATTATTACTTTTGCACTAATGATAATCTTATCTATTGATATTATTTGATCTATTTGATGAGCCAAGGATTTTTAACAATTTCTATGTATTAAAAAAAGAGAAGTGTAATTATTTTTTGTGAAGATATGAACTCATCTTGCCAAGAATGACAAAATCAAAATAATGATTAGAGATGATATAAATCCTTTTCATTAAGTATCAATTATTAATCCTCTGGGTTAATCTGATTCCAGATAAGTTTTTAGAATATATTTCTAGAATCATCATAATAAATTTAAGTTTAATTAGTTTTATATTTAGTAAAGATTAGTATCTCTAAAAGCAATGAATAAGTATCTAAAAAAATAAACATGTAGCACTATTATCTTTGACAGCTTCTCTTAATTTTAATTGATCTCAAGTAGCAGTCTTGAATTTCATGTTTAAATGTTCCTGTTCTTCAAGATCATATATTTCAATGAAAACGTCATTCATTAGTGAACAACTATTGGAGAGTCCAACGTATATAAATTCTAGTTAATGTGATTTAATCTTCATACATAATAGAAAAATATTTACATTTAATTTAATCAAAAACAAAACCAGACTTATCACTTGAAATTGATTACATTTACTTCTTTTTACTCTCTAGTTGATAATAAAACTAATAAAGATATCCTTTCAAAATAAATAAGATTATCATCATTTAATTGAATTCCTTAATTATCATTAATATAAATGACTAGTATATGAACTATAATTTATTAATATTTTATAACGATGACATCAATTTAAGTTTCTATTGCTATAATTATTTACAAATTACTTTTTTTAATTAAATATTAATTAAAAATGATTTAATCTAAAATGATAGAAAAAGAAGAAGAACTTCTTTGTTCTTTAAAACATAAACTTCCTATCTAAATGGTTGCATGTGATAATAACTTAAAAAGGAATCAAAGACTTTTATGCCCTGAATGCATGGAAAATTTAGCGTCAAAAGCTCAATTAATGAGTTTTAAGAAAGCCTTATAAAATATCCAAGATAATCAAAAATAAAAGAAAGAATCTGTTGAGAATGTGATAATGATAAGCATTAAACTGATTGAATAACTCTAAAAAAATCTATTTTAATTAAAGTCTAATGTTGTTCAATTATTAGATTAATTAATTGGAAATGTAGATGAATGGATCAAACATGTATTAATGATTGGATAATAAAATGTTACTTATAGTTTTTATGATGAATTGGACAAACTAATTAACGACAAAAAGCTGGATTAATTTAATCCCCAAACATTAATTGATCAAATTAATTAAATTAACATATCATGGAATCAAAAAAGTGAAAAGAAATTAAACTCATTTAAATCATTTTAAGATAGCCAAAAATGTGAAGAAATATTAAAGAAGCTAAAAAAATTATCAGGAACAAAAGAGAATATTTAAGAATAAATATTAAATTAAGTAAATGTATTAAGTTATTATATAGAAATAAAAGGAAGTGATTTAAGTTGAGAATAAATAGAAGTAATTAGAATAATAATTGATGATGTATGAAAAAGTTCAATTTTAATTAATTGATTATTCAAATTATAAGAGCTCATATTGTTTAGCAATGGTGTTCAATAAAGATGGATCAATTATAATTACAGTTGATTTTTATATAATTGAAATTTGGAATTTTGAATAAGGAAGATTTAAATTATCTAATTCTTATAATGAACATTCTAATGCTATTACATGTTTGGTGTATAGCAAAAAGACAAATAACTTTATTTCTGGTAGTGATGATCATAAAATTATCTGTTGGAAATAAATTAATCAAAATGAGTGGAAATGCTCATAACCATTTGAAGAACATAAAAATAGTGTTTTATGTTTAATATTAAATAAATAGGAGGATCAACTTATTTCAGGAGGGTAAGATCTTAAAATAATAGTATGGTAAGTAGATTTTATGAAGAATCATCTAACTTATCTTTATTCTCTAGATAATCATAGTATTAATGTTGTTTCACTCAGTTTTAATTAATCCGAAACTTTATTGGCATCATGTGGTTTCAATGAATTTATAATATGGGAGTAAGGATTATAAGGAAAATGGGAATTGAAATATAAATAAAATGTTGAAAATGGATGTAAAATACATTTCATAAATGATTAATAATTTATTTGGGTAACATAAGATAAGTAAATAAATGATATTTTAGTATTTGAATTATTGAATGGAGTCTTTAAATAGAATTCAAATAAAACTATCACTTTAATCAACAATAATCAATGTGAGGATTATATATTATTTCCAATTATACATAATAAAGATAGAAATGTGATATTG